GAATATAAGAAAATTTTGTTAAATTATGCTCAAGCGTTGGCTGATGTTGGCAACGAAGAGAGGATAAATATACTCTGCTCAAGACTTTTAGGCCCATTAGATAATGTTGGGTACAGTAATAACAATATCATCATTAATTTTTTATTTGTTTTCGTTTAACCTATTATTGTTAATTGTTTATCTATTGTTAGTGCAAACAGTGCAAACAGTGCAAATTGGGATCCTTTTGTAGCAGTAAGCGATACACAAACATATCTATTTATTTATTTGTTCATTTATTACTAATATATTTACTCCTAATAACATTCTATTTAATAGGGGATGTCCAAACATGAATTATTAAAAGATGTATTGGCTATTTTATGTAAAGATCAAATAAAATTTTAAATTTTGGGATTTTTCAATTCTCTAAAACTGACTATATATTTGTTTTATACATTTAGCCACTAATCGATCTCTACAAAAAATCATTCAAGAATATTCTCAGACACTATTCAGATTTACAAATGGAGATTAGTTAGCGTAAGAAAAAAAATTAATTACGTAAAAAAATTTTTGATTTTTTTTTTGGTACTTATATAAATAAATAAACAGATTGACAATCATAAAAATAATTTAATCATGTCCATGTGACCTCGCTTTTCTGCTTACCATAAAAAGCCTCTATTGATTTTTCTTTTCGTATTAGTATTAATATTAATAATATACTTTTATAGGCATTTGGAACATCCGATTTTCGTTCTTTTCAATAACCAATTATATAATCATCTAAATCATCTAAATGAAATTGTTTTTAAATTCCGATAAATGTTCCGATTAAAAAATTATCCCAACGATTAATTTAAATAAATTAGTAAATAAATAAATAAATCACAATGAAATATTATTGATATTGATAATTGATGATGATAATGAGAGTTTGGATTTATTCTTTTATAAACAACAATTAGCTTTTTCAATCAACTTCTTTCTTACACTAACATGCTTTTTATGTGTAACTTCTAATGTTTCACGATCTCTAGCTCTACCAATTGAAACCCAACAAATTACTTGATAATAATAAACAATAATATATAATAATAATATAAACAATAATAATAATAGTAATATTAAAAGATTTTTTTTTTTCTTCTCTCCCTCCTTCTTTATTTCTATTATTAATTGTTATATATTATCGCTTCACTTCTGCTTATTTGTCTATTTAAAAAAAATCTTACAAAAAAAAAAAAACCCAAAAAAAAATAAATTTTCTCCCTTTTATATTGTTTCTATTTTCATCATATAAGTATATCGTCATCATCATTATAAATATTCATTCTCTTATATACATATATATATATATATATATATAATATATACACATAAATACCTCTTTTTGAAACGAGGAAAAAAAAATTCTTTTTTAATTTCTGTTAACGATATAATTTTAAATATTTTACATACACACACACACACATATATATATTGTATATTATTACAAACATCACATATTCACAATTAATCTTCCTTCCACGCACGCTAACTTGCATATCTCTAACAACATATTCCACAACATCTTTAGCAACATCTTTAACATCACTTTTAAAATTCCATTTAGCATTTACAACCATCTATAAATATATAAATATATTATTTCTTGTTAAATATTTTGTTTTCTATAGATTATTTTTATATTGTTTTTTTTATAAATATATAAATATTTTCTTACATATAGACAATTTTAATTTTATTATTGTTTAATATAATAAATAAAATTATCATATATTATCATATATTAAAAAAAATTCTCCACTCATCTCACAAAAAAAACTTATACATATAATATAGATTTTCTTTATAAAATTTCCTATAACAATATCAATAACAAAATGACATTATTTTATACTTCTCAACAACAACAACAACAACAAAATCATAACATTCATGGTGGAAATACTACTTCTGCTACGCCAGCACCAGGTGTTACAAACCCTACTAGTACCAATAGTGCTCCT